CCTGCTTGGAGTCTGCGTGCAAATAACAGGCAAAGTTATGCTAGAAATCATACAAACACTTAGGCCATATTTAGAGTAAGATAAAAGATGTGGTAGCTAACACATCCTAACTGATGCATTTTAAGCCTAGTGTAGACAAGGGAGGATGTACTTTAACATACATGCATGAAATTTAGTCTTCTCAGCTTTAGTTTCACCAGTTCAACATATGTTTAAGGCGTGTTAATTAACATATGTATCCTAGTCTAGAAAAGGCTTAAAGTACATGGATAACTGAATTCATGCAGTGGATTACCTTCTTAAGTAAAAAATAATTGAGGGCATACACATTTACAGGATTGGGGTGAGATTTTTTTCAGAAGTGCCTAAAATGATGGGAGTATTGCTCCTGTATGTGTAAATACTTTTGAAATTCTTAATCCAAGTCTGACCTGACCATACAAATGAAACAGTGAAATTATGTGTAATTAACAGCATTTTTTTCATAAAACAAACAAATCAGAATAAAATTTCTTCCATTATAAACTAGGGTCATCGTAGATGATGATATTTTTAACAACGTTGTTACAAGCAACAAGTGGAAGTGTAATTTTAAATTGACACTGTCTCCTTAATTAAGGATATATATAAGGGTTTGCTAGATTGAGGCTTTATGATTCCTTTCTGTTGTGCTGCCTGCAAGCAACTGTCAGTGCTGGAATTAGTTCTCATAATTTATGTGTGTTTTTATAATCCAGTTTGAATTTAGTTTATTAAACCAGGACACTCAAAGCTGTTTGAATTCACAAAGCACACAACTGAAGGGGAGTTAGTACAATATAGTCAGCTTCTCCTGTTAACTCTAATTGAAGTAAATAATTTCTTATTATTTTGTAGAGATGGGGGAAGATTATGGTTAGAGGATAATTCCAAAAGTGGTTTAAGTATGTCACAATTTTTCTTTTTTGTTATAACTCTATTCATAATATTTACAACGGAGCTGTCAGGAAAAGTAAGAGTCCTCTTCTATCTGGTTTTGTTTAATAGTTTGGTGTGTGTAGGGAGGAGGGTATTTCCAAAGCATGGGGTAGCAAGTTAGTGCAGGCTGGCATGTTACATCTTTTGATGCCCTCTAGACAGCAGTTGTAAGGCAGAGCAAAACTGAGTGGCAATCCCATGAATCAATTTTTTCCCCTTAACATTTGCTACCACTTAATTGTAACAAAACAATTAGTTGAACCCAGATTGAATGGGAGAGTAATGGGGTACTCCTCATGCACTACATCCAGTATTAGTGTGAAACAATAAACAGGCAGTCCCCGGGTTACGTACAAGATAGGGACTGTAGATTTGTTCTTAAGTTGAATCTGTATGTAAGTCAGAACTGGCGTCCAGATTCAGCCGCTGCTGAAACTGACCAGTGGCTGACTACAGGAAGCCTGAGGCAGAGTTGCTCTGCCCCGGGCTTCCTGGAATCAGCCTCTGATCAGTTTCAACAGGCTGAATCTGGACACCAGTTCCGACTTACATACAGATTCAATTTAAGAAGAATATTTGCAAGAATATGAGCTGGACATAGTGCTTGTCTCATTCATGATTTTTAATACTTGTCATTTAACTCTTTCATTGAATATTTCTCTTTTTAAGAACTCAGTTCCTTCAAAATTGTAACAGTATCATCAACAAAACAGCTATTTCCCTACTTCCATGCTGTTTGGTGGGTACTCAGCATATGTTCAACATTTCTCTTAAGCCCAACGTTGAGAACTTTAGCTGTGACAGTGCCATCTATTTTTTCACAATTTTGTTCATAAATGGTCATCAGATTAGTCCAGTTCTTGATATACAGGCAGTCCCCGGGTTACATGGATCCGATCCCTACTTACAAACTGGGCGAGGCAACCCTGCACTAGCTGCTTCCCCCCAGCAGACCAGGGAGATGCAAAGCTCTGGCTGCCCCCCCTCCCAGCAGACCAGGGAGCCCTGGTCTGGGGAGACGTGGAGCAAAGCCGCGGAGCACGCGGGCAGCGGACAGCCCAGACGCGCTGCGGCTGTCCCGCTGCCGGCATCCTCAGAGACTTTGCTCCCCGTCTCAGCAGACCAGGGAGACGGGCAGCAAACCCTGTTCGTAACTGCGTTACCTTTTGATGTTATTTTTATTGAACTGAAATTAATTGCATCTAAATAGAAGCCCTGGTAATCACACTTAGGGTGCTGAGAGTTGGTACATGAGGGTCAAAGTCTCTTAACTAATGAGTCTTCTTTCTGCAAGCTGTTCAGACAGAATAAGCTACATTAGAAGCTCTCCAGCTGCTTGTCTACACTAGAATATGGTCTCTGCTGCTGCGAGAGAGCTCATCCATTGGCATATTTAAACTATCTGTGAGAGTCAGAAGCTGTGTTGGTGGGAGAAGCGCTCCTGCTGACATAGCACTGTCCACACTGGAGCGTAGGTCAATGTGACTTATGTCCTCAGAGAGTGGATTATTCACACCTCAGAGATCGTGTCTTCATTCCTCCACTTCTGGAGTTTGATTTAGTCGGTCTAACTAAGACGCGCTAAATTGAATTCAGAGGGTGTCCCTGTTGGTGGTAGCACTCCTGTGAGGGGGTAAAGGAAGCTTACGGGAGCGTTGGATCTTGTCGGCCTCCCACTGTGGAGACTGTGGGGAAACGTGAGTCAAGGCACGTCAACTCCAGCTACGTAATTAACGTAGCTGGAGTTGAGTATATTTATTCAACCTTCCCCTTTCGTGTTGACGTAGCCTGAGTCACTTCAGTTATACTGACGTAAGTGGTAGTGTGTATGAGCCCTGGTTCCTAACTTTATGCATGCTCCTGTTGACTCTCAGAGCTCATGAAATGTCAGCAAAGAAAGAGAAGATGTGATGTCATAAAGAAAACATGTATGGCCCCAATCCTGCCTGCAAATACTTATAAGCACGCACACTTAACTTTGATTTGCAGAATCAAGGCTTATGCTCCCTAACTAAAGAAAGATATGTGTAGAGAAAATAATTTTATTTTGTAAACGTTTAAAAGTATTTTGTTAATAGTTTCTCTTAGAAAACCTATGTTTTCCAAATTTGACTGATGAGAACAAGATCTGCTTCGATACCAGCCTAAAGTAGTCAGACGAGCAAAGTTACTCCTTATGTTTGCAGGAATAAATTCACAATGGAATCCTAGTTATGCCTTTAATTTGTATATAGATTTTTTTTTAAATGGTAAAGTCAAAATAAACAGTGTACAAATTTTGGGCCCAATCCTGGAAAGACTTACTGTGTAGACTAGTACTGCTACTGTGAGTTATTTGTGATTCAACATAAATAAGGCCATTCATGATGTAGTACATTTTGTGCTTGGCAGTAAGCACTGGTAGGACAGAGTCCTTTTACCTTCCATTCATTAACTGAAGCATAATTCCAGTAGTATTTATTTACATTTTATTTGTAAATGATATCTTGGGGCTTTCTTTGTTGAAATCTAAAGCAATAAAAAGTCTTTTCCACCTAAGGGCTTGTCTTCACTGCAGTAGTTACCTTGATTCAATACACTTGAGTTACCCCACTCAGGTTAGTCTGGCTCTAACAGTTAGTGTGACTATACTGAGGAACAATTCTTCAGCTGTACATATGTTTTATTAGTCTATAACAGTGTTTCCCAATTGGTGCTCCGTGGAACCCCACGGTTCCATGAAGCGAAAGAAAGGGTTCTGCGAGAACTCGGCACTCTCCCACCCCCTCTTAAAGAGACAGATTCTATTTTTCAGCTTTTTTTTTTTTTTTTTTTTTTTTTTTTGACCAATTCTGGTGGGTCTTTTTTAATTTTAAAAAATTTTTTTTGCTTAACACATTTTACCCTGGCAACCCTATCGGTTCCTTGAAATACTTTTAAGCTGAAAAGGGTTCCGTGGCCAAATAAAATTGGGAAACACTGGTCTATAAAGTGATACCAGACCATTTGTTGTTATTTCAGCTATATAGTGATTTGTATCAGTAGCACACAGTGATTGGATTAGCTGCTGATTAGTTGCTGTAACTCAGTATTCTGTTTCACCACTGCTTTAACTGCTGGAGTCTCAGTTCCACTAGAGCTTCAACCCATTTCTCTGTTGGGTTAGCTAGCTCCAATTTAAAGAAACACTTAACTGAGTTATACATTTTTGTGTGTGTGGATGAAATTAGATGAGGTAGGGGGAAAACATGATTTATACATTGAGAACACTGCATGTGTTCACTGAAGATAAGATCTTTAAAAGGGAAGAGAATTAATGTGTATTTTGTAAGGCACTTTGGAAATATTGGATCTGCAAGGATCTACGCATGTGAACCTGCTTGTAGGATCATGAACTAAACTGCTGTTGGATGAGGACCATAGTCACAAAAATCAGGCTTGATCTCTGCCAACTCTCAAGAAAGGGCCTGTTTGAATTTAGTATTTTAAACAACCTGCCCTAATTCTAGAAGCCAAAGTTTGGGTCTGAGTTTTGAACTTTTTTTTTTTTTTACCAAAAACTCAGGGAGTTTGGATCTGAGATTTTGGTTAAGGTCTATTTCTAATAAAAATATTGCATTTAATTAAATTTGTATTTTCAACAAAATTTTTGGGACTTCTAATTTAAGCATTTGTACCTTTAAACATTGAAAACAATAAAATGAATTTTTATAAAAATGAGGACTCAAGCTGAAAATCTTTTTGGTTTCTGCTTTACTTTGTATTTTTTTGCATTTTTATCACTTTGCTATCAATGGCTAATAATCGAGGTTATAAAAAGGACACAAGATTTTTGTGATTAATTGGGAAATCGATAGCCCCTTTAAGAGTGTGATCAAAGGGGTTTCAAGTATATGCTGATTTCAGAGAGGCCTGGGGGTGCTTAGTACTTCTAGAAATTGCTGGGAAGTTTGCAGAATCAAGCTTGTAAATGAAGTGAGTTTCAAGTATAAATAGTTTTGGCATTGTATGGTTCTATCTGTACATATGTGGAATTAAATTTCCTGTGTATTTGTGTTATGCAGGTGACACTGGTCCAGGAATAAGAGCATGGATCAAACAAGTTCTGAATCAGGATTTAGCTTTCCAGCATATAAAAGTAATTTATCCAACAGCTCCTGCCAGGTATCGTTCAATGCCTTTTACTACTAAGACTAAATTCCTCTACTCTTCTGACAAAATCGTTGTGAAAATATTCTTATGCCTCTGGGTAGAGGTAGTGCTTTGTGTTTTGCAATTCTCTCTGTTTATTTAGTGGTGATGTTCGGAGCTCAATAACGCTTTGCAACCACAAGATGTTATTTTTAAATGCATGAGATTTTATGTAGGATACTTTCTTCTAATTCACAGTAAAAGCCAGTCTGCATTACTGTTGAATTTTTCACAAGGCTAATATAGATAGGGATTTTTCTGTGACATGTACTGTGACCATGTTATTAAATGATTTTTTTAAGCCACCTCCCTACCTCTAATTGTTCCCATAAATCTATGATCAGAATTAACCAAACACTTTACTATACAGATCAATTTTTGCTTCTGACTGCTTCTAACTATAGTCTGGTGTGACTGGTAGGAATATTTGCCTTGTAGTAAATATTAGGGATGTAAAATCCTGATTAATCAGTTAACTGGTTAAATATTAGGCTGGCCTAATGTTTAACTGATTAAGCAGGATCCAGGTGCTGGAGTAGCCCCCAGCCTGCCGGGGCTCCCACTTCCAGCTCCATGCTGGGGCTGGCTCCCAGCTCCCAACCCCAGCTGGAGCAGTCCCTCTTTGCAGGGTGCCCAGGACCAACACGGACTGGGGCTGCTTCAGACGCGGTAGACCCCTTGTGGGCCTGGGGCAGCCCCCCGTGCATTGCACATGGAGAGCAGCTCCAGCCTTCACCGGTTACTGATTAATCTTTCACATCCCTAGTAAATATATAGCTAGGGACAATGCAAGGATCATCTTCAACTATTTGTGGCATCCCTGGATGTTAAAACATTTGAATTACAAGGTTGCTTTGGTTTTTAATTTCAAACAACTGAGCACATAATAAAAATCGAGTCCTGCTTCCTCATCACAGATGCTAGCATTTGAAGCCCCATTATTACTTCTTTAGTCATAATAAAGTGCCACAGTGTGCTTTATGGTATATAGGAAATAGACCCAAGGTGTCCAATCAGTTCCGAAGCTGACTAAAGTTCTGAACTAATCACACTCAGCTGGCCAAATAGCCATATTATTCAAGCCAACTAGCCACACTCAACTGGCCAGATAGCCGCTAGTGGCTAGCATGTTGGAGACCATGTGAATAGAGGGAGCTTGTGGTACTTGCCTCAAGGAATTTACAAGTATGGCCAATATTTTCAGACTGGATGCCTAAAGCTAGGTGCTTAAATCCATATTTAACTATCCAAATAAATGGCCTGGTTTTCAGCCACAAGCCAAGCGCCTCTGAAAAAACAGGCTGCTTATTTGAGTTTTGCTTGCAACATAACTAACTCATTGTACATAGATGAGAGCAATTCAGGGTTGTGAGGAAAACTTTGAAAATCTTTTGAGAAGTGTGTTTTATGGAGGGATTGAAGGGAAATAGTGGAGTTGATCTACTGCACCATGGGAATGATTTTATTCAAACAACATACTGCTCTGTTGACCACTAGGTTAAGTGTGCAGCTAGCATGATTCATGGCATTCATTGGGGCCCAAAAAGCTCCATCCTCTCCATTTATACTGACAGTAGATGAGGGTTTGCCATAACGTTTGTAAACTTCAACTTTCCAGTGTGTGTCCGATGCCGGTAAAATGCCTCAGGCCACATCTCTTCAGCCACTAGAGCTCCACTTTCCCATTCCATTGTGTCCAGATCCACAATCTTGTCCTTTGATTTTATTATTTGTAAATATCTGTAGTAGCTAAGGGCAACGTTATAAATGAGGCTCTACCAAATTCAAGGTTTATTTTAGTCAATTTCTCAGTCATAGAATTTTAAGAATAAGAAATATGTGATTTCAGCAATTTAAATCTAAAATTTCATGGTATTGTAATTATAGGGGTCCTCACCAAAATGGAGAGGAGAGTCACCAGATTATTGTAGGGAGGGAGTTATAGTACTACTACTCCTGCTTCTGTGCTGTTGCTGGCGACAGCACTTGCTTCAGAGTTTGGCAGCTGGAGAGAGGTGACTATGGCCGTGGTCCTAGCTCTGAAGACCAAGTCAACAGCAGCACAGAAGCAAAGATGGTATGTCATTGCCACCTTTATTTCTGCTGTGCTGCCATCAGAGATTGGCTGTCATTCAGCAGCTGCTATTCTCCAGCCATCTATCTGAAGCCAGTGCAGAAATAAGAGTGGCAATATTGTGACACTCCCTCCAGTAACCTTCCAATTCCCTTGCAATTCCCTTTTGGGACAGGAACACCAATTTGAGAAATGCTGGTCTTCTCTGTGAAATTTGTGTAGTGTAAGGTAAAAGCATATAAAAGACCAGATTTCATGGAAGGAGACTAGATTTCATGGCTCATGATACATTTTTCATGGCTGTGAATTTGGTAGGACCGTAAATATAAATGATGAAATCAGTATTTATGATTTATCAAGCAGCTTTTTTGATTCTTACACAGACTGTAAGATATCAATAAAGATTGCAGGTAAAGAAAAATACTACATTGTAATGTAAAACATGTGACTAAACAGTTGCCTTGTTTGTTGAGTTTATTCTCTTAATTCTTTTCCAAAGCAAAGCAAGATTAAGCATGATTTGATTCTTGGCAGCTTTTAGCAGGATTTTTCCATCCTGTTCCCCTAGTGTGAAAGGGGTATATCCAAAGAAAAATACCTGTAGTGCATTTGTTTTTGACTGGCAGCTGAGAAGAACATTATGGAATATTGCTTTACAGCCTCCTTGTTCCTGAGGATAAGCACCATTAACTGACATAGTGAAATAAAACAAATGCACTTAAGCACTGTAATGCTTGCCACCATTTGGAACTATTCACAAACAAAGGAAGTTTGTAAAGAGATGTTTTACTGGTTGTATTGTAAATAACTTTTGCTTGGCCAGTATAGGTTTTTGTCGTTTTGGTATTTAAATCTAATGGATGTTATACACTTTGTAAAATCTGTAATGATTTCTCTTTCCTTTTTCCATAGAAAAGAAAAACCAAAAATGGAGTGACAAATGTTAGGATCCTAAATATTGTATTGCTTGATATCCTCTCCTTCTCTTCCCCCACCCCATGGTATAGAGCACCAGTTAAAGTTTTCAGTACCTCTGAAAATCAGGCCTTAAATTACCCCAAAGTAGGTGTCCAGGTATATTAAGCCCCTGACCCTGTGGTTGATAAAATATCAAGGGCTTGCTGTGTGTTTGAGTAGAGCCTGTGCAGGTTAGAAATCTGCAGTTGTTCATCACAGCCTGATTACAAGGCAGTTTTGACTCTAATGAATAAAAGCAAAGAGAAGCTTCAGAAATTAGGCATGTGTATGAATGTTTCAATTTTTAATGGATCTGACAAGTAATAGAACTTGTGTCATTTTATCATACTGTGTTAGAAAAATGTTTTAAATTGTTTTATTCCAGCACTAAAATAATAATTTTTATTTCCTATAAGACATACTGGAGTTTAACTCACCAACTATCCTAGATAGAGCTTTTTGGATCAACCAGAGAACAAACTCCAGAATAAAATCCCTAAAAATATATATTCATCCTGCTTGATTAGCTTTTAAAATATAACATGATTTGGTGTTGATTGAGGAATGATATAAGTCAAATTCTATTCCTTAGGGAATTCAGCTCCGCAGCCCAATTAAAAACTCTGTGCCCAATATTTAAAATTCTGCAAAACCCTGCACATTTTGTCAAAATAACACAATATAATCACACAATTTTCAGTTATTTGCTGACAAGTATTTTCAAATAAATTACCAAATAATTGAAAATGCTGTGATTACATTGTGGTATTTGACAAAATATGCAGAACTTTGCAGAATTTTAAGATTTTTTAAAAAAATATGGGGTGCATATTTCCCTCAAGCTTTCTGTGTGGCACAGTGTGGCTACGTCTACACTGGCCCCTTTTTCGAAAGGGGCATGCTAATTTTAAACTTTGGAATAGAGTTGTAGGAGGTTTAAAAAGCCTGGAAAAGGGATTATATTTTTTATTACACTTTTCTGTAATGGAAGCTGGTTGCTTTTAAAAAATAATCTGCAAAATATGGTTGGCACTCAGTTGCTAAAAACAAAAGTGTACTTTTGACTAGGTTAACCACCCTGGAGATTGAAGACCTTCTGTCCCCAGAACAGATACACTTTTTGTAAGTTACAGACTAACCTGGCTATCCCTCTAGACATGGAAAACCTTGTACATCCTTACGATGTCTCTGTTGGGTATTTCACTTTGAGAGGCTGAACTGCGTTTTGGCTTCTGATGTTGATATGTTGATCTCAGAAGATGATTAAATGAAGTAATTTGAATGATGCTGACTGAAGACACCAGTTGAAAGCACTGAGCACCTTGCAGGATTTGGCCCCCATTTCCTGATGTGTCTGTTATGACTACCAGTTAGTGCCCTGTTTGATTTTTTTTTTAGGTCATTTGTCCTTTGTGAAATGGGAATGTACTACCGAACTCATTGGCCACCAAGCTGGTACTTGTATCTTCAGTCATTACTTGATGTGGCATTAGATTTTGGTTTATCACCAGTGCCTTAATGGTTGGGTTTTTTTAAAACAAAAAAAGCCCTTCCAGTGACAAGGTCTTCAGTGGTGTACCTCTTCACTTTTTATTCTTGACATTAAATTGCACCAAATGTTACAAAGGCAGTGCAATAACTGCTAGGACTCAGAGCGAGCTATGTACTTCATGGTCAGTCTACAACTTCAGTCTGTTCTTGGCATTATTCCTATTCAAAAGATGAAAACATTTGTACATATGTAGAGCTAAACCTACTTTCTAATGTCGCTGTAGCCAGATTTAAATTGTTTAATGGAATTAGGCTTTCTGGCCCAATAATGTTGATGAACACCTTTTTTCCTTTTATTTGTGTCAGAACTGCTGCTTCTTTAAATACTGTTTCTCCTGCTACCACTGTTTCTTAAACATTCCGTTTCTATTGAATGGCTAAATCAGGAAAC